GTAAATAAGGATGATAATAGAAATTAAGGCAGCTTTACCACATTATGACATCATCATAAAGCACAATGTAATCAAGGGAGATAAGACAACAAGACAACAATGATGATCGTAAAAACGGCGATTTAGTTGATTGCGTAATTATGATGATAAATAATAAATATAAGCACTCAGCTAAGCTGTTTGCGATTTGAAACAGGAAAAATTGTTCAACATGGTGCAAGTATTAGCTAGCATCATCGTTATTGCCTTTCAAATGACAATTTTGTGAAAAATTTTATTTTTAAATTATTTTTTTTCTAATTCAGTTTATAAATTTTGTTTTTTATAACTTTCTTAAATTTTTGATAATTTCTGAATTTCTTCTGCATCATGGTGGCACTAACATCTACTTATTCCATGCAACCCACTTCTTTTGTATTCTATGCCGAATTAGTTTTTGATGTATATATTTAAAATAAAAATTCTCTCTCACTCTCACATATTCATAGGTGTGTGTGCTTGCGTGCAAGCGAGCGCTTGCGTGTGTGTGTGTGTGTGTGTGTGTGTGTGTGTGTGTGGTGTGAAAGAGTGTTGTGTGTGTGTTTTTGTGAAACTAAGAACACTCTTCATTTAAAATATAATGCGAGCGAATATAAAGTATGCAACGTCAGCGTGGGAGGTACCAGGTAACACGGGTTTAACATTAATTGACATTTATTGCTTATCCCTTGTTGTTGCATGCGAGTTGTCTGCTTGCCTATCTGTTTGTCTGTCTGTCTGTCTTTCTGTCTATCTGTTTGTCTGTCTTTCGGTCTGTTTGTTTGTCTGTCCTCTTTTACACGCTATGTGATTTTAAAAGTGCATCTTACATGTCATCATATTTAGAGTTAATTTTTTTGGAGTTAGGAAATGATTGAGAATATTGCAGACTCTAAATCCACTCTGTCTACTACCAAACAACAAAAAAAAAGAAAAACACAAAACATTCATTAAAACCTAAATCAAAAGTGCAAAAGTGTCAGCTCTCAATGTAACAAATCTGTTGAAAGTTTGATGTTGCCGTGGATGATTGGTTTTTGGCCACACTGACATATTTTGTTTAAATGGTTTAATAGATATAATTTAACTGTTTTAACAGAAATAGCGGTGGGATGGAGACGTGGGAATAAAAAGGTATATTTTTTCTGTTAAAGTTAATTATCAGTATTCTACATTGAGAACAAGAAAATGGAGTGCAAGAAAATAGTAGAGTGGAAGAAAAAGAAGAGAAAGATCTAGAGAAGGATGGAAAAAAAAAGAAAAAAGATAGCAACAAAAAATGAGAAGGTTTAATTAAAAAAAAAATACAATTTCAAAGAAGCAGTGGAAATTTAAGGAGAAATCAAACAAACTTCGAAATATCACAAACGTGTACAGCGAAGAGCCTTACGGTATTAACAATGCGTAGATAACCAAATTTTTAAACCTTCAAATAAATTTCACATTTAAATGAAAAGGCATTTTTTAAAAAGCCATGCAACTTTTATCTCAAGATGTCAGATGTTCAAATAAATTTATCTGCTCAGTGAGTCTTGTGGTGTAGATGTGTTTGAGTTACTGAGTTTGTGTAAGTTTGATGTTTTTTGATCGGTCATTCGTGAAAAAGAGTTTTTAAATGTATGCCAGCTTTTAAACGTGCCGAAACAAATAACTAATTTAAAATTCTAGTTTTCACCCTTAGATTTACATTTTTTCACGGGAAATGGACAAATTTTTAAAGACTGTTAAGATTGAAAAACTTCAATAGTTCTGAAAAATCTAACAGATCTATTTATTTCAGAATTTAAAATAATTAATTTTTATGGAGTATCAGACGTGATCATATAAATGCAAACAGAGGGAAACTCATTTTGATTCGACGTGCTCCTTCTTCATAACGGGGTTATTAAATTTTTTCATGTGGGCCTTTAACTGCCTGATCCATTTATTAAGATGAACAGCTGGTACGTACACAACAACACATGATCGTCCTGACATATGAACTTGAACAGGAACATAAACATGAACACGAACATGAACATGAACACGAACATGAACATGAATGTTTGTCGAAGTGGAGATCCGTGCAAATATTTGAAACATTCTGTATTCGAGACGTTAAAAAATTTTCCATTATAAAATTTAAGTGAACTTTGAAAAAAAATTTCCTTTTTAAAAATTAATTTCAGAATTCTCTGAACCCGTAAATAAACTTTTCCAACAACGCAAATAAAATCATGCCCTAACAAAATTAAATTTTTACATAAATAATATTAAAATAATAATAAATAATAATGAAATAATATATATAATTATTATAAATAATGTGAATAATAAAAATGTGTAACAATGGAATAATGAGAATCGAAATGATGTTGATTAGACGCGGACCTGAGCAGACGAGTGACGGAACTCTACAGCACTTTTTCCAACTCCCTTCACAATCTTGCCTGCACGTTCTTCCAGGACCACTGGCAATTTATGAACTGTCAGCCCGCAGAGTAAGATTATTTCAGGATTTATCTCATTGTTTTATGATATTTCTTTTGTGTGGTTTTGCAAAACGTTTAAATGGTTTTTAAAATAATGGTTTCAATATGGCTTTGAAAAAGTTTGTTTTTTGTTATATAGTTTTGTTACTTTCGTTAATATATTTGTGTAAAAATTATGTAGCAAATTCATATAATTTTGTGAATAATTTTTTAATTTAATTTAGTAAATCACTTTCAAAATCCATGCGTGCGTGCGTAAGCGTATCATGTGAACACGACACCATGCAGAGCATCGTTAGAATTGTTAGAGCAAAGTTTAAGACATTAGTTGAAAGGGACGCGGGTTAAAGGCATTCATTATTCAAACATCCTTTTCACATGCTCCCCACACAATCTCATATAATCTCAATTAACTTGCTACCTCGCAGCGACAAAGCAGTAAAATGTTACGATTACCACTCGTTCATGGAGGTCATCGTGTTAATGCTGGACATGCTAACGACGCAGTCGGCGGTTGGTGTCCCATCTACTTTTTCATTTCTATTCAGTTTATTATTAATTTAAATAAATTTACATTATTTGCCTGTTTGGTAATTAAAAATTCAATGTTTATCACTTTTACTGCATCATAATGACATCGTTTAGGAACATTCGAACTATTTTTTAACCTTACTACATGTTCTCCGGTGATTTAAAAATGATTTCATCGGTAAACTTTTTTTTATATAAACTTTTATTATTTCAAAATTGAAATTTGTCCTGTTTGTTGTTTATGTTCAATGAAAATTTTAATTATGGTTCACCGTTCGTTACCTCTTTTGAAATTTTGAAATAAATTAAGCATCTCCGTCTTAACGTTTTTTTTTTAATTTTTTATTTAATTAACCGTTTGAAAAATTAATCACAATGTTGTAAATATATTTTAGTTCAAAAGATTTTAAATTATTTTAAATAAATTTTTTTCTAAATGAATTTATTTTTAATGTTGAATAAATATGTTGGCATTAAGTATTTTATAATTTTAAAGTTTAAATTTTTGTTTTCTAGCTCTAAATATTTTTCTATGAGTGTTGTTTTACAAACTTAACATAATGCATCGTAATATAATTTTTTCAACTGTTAAACTTTTGCTTGCCATTAAACATTGACAGTATTGAAATGCTTTTACAGCCAGCTGGTTGAATCAACCATACTGCAATTCATCACACTAAGCTCTTTCCAGTCCATCAACTTATTACACAGCCTTACATCACTACAACTAATTGATAAGGTGACGATGTACATCCAGTGTTAAATACACTCAAAACTATTGGAATAAACTAAGAAAAAATATTACACAGTTTCTCTTCATATGACTTCAATTGTTGAAATATGTCAGGGTTTTATCAAAAAGAGATGTCACATCTGATTGCTTTCATTTACTGAACTGGCAATCTAGTTCAATTTTCAATATGGCCAAAACTGAAATACTGGAATTTGGTAACTCAGAAAACATTTAACATTATCTCGGAATAACCAATATTCTTTTAAAACATTGTAAATTGAACGATCAGAATGATAATCAATGAAGATGGCATACCTCGTCATACATCGTCAGCTTCACAAAACTTAACTGAACTCTACTGGCAACTTTTTCTTTTTGTTTCAAACTTTTCGTCATAACTCTCAAGCATTATTTTATCATTCACAAGTATTTCTATCTCAAAAGTCTACAAAACGGAAACACTAATAACATACACGTTCGACCTCAACGTGCTCCAGTAAGCCTTAAACAAAACACAACAAACAGCATTACAAAGCGTGCATTTTAACATTCCTCTTTATACATTTGGAATCCCTTGACACTAAACATTAGAAATTGCAGTTCAATTCAATCATTTAAATTTTTCTCAGAAACTTTCCCTTTCACTGAAGCCATTTTTAACACGAGATTGGCCTATCAATTGGTTTCTAAGGCAACTTAGTATTTGCCATAGCACTTATTATCACACTATGGGAACACTGCTTTTATTCAGTTTATTAAATTATTAAAAATAGTAATAATAGCAGTATATGAAGTAGTAGGAGTTGTTGTTGTTAAATAGAAGTAGTAGTAGTAATAGTAATAATAATAATAATAATAGTAGTAGTAGTAGTAGTTGCAGTAGTAGTAGTAGTATTAGAAGTAGTAGTAGTTCTTATCATTATTTATATTATTAATAAAATCTACTCTTCAACATATTTTAAATTCAAATATTTTTATCATTTTTTTAATGATTTAAAAATCGCGTGAAAAATTTGTGGCCTCGTATTCAACTTATTGAAAACATTTTAGATTGTCTGATGTACGCTGTTGCACTAAAGCATGTTGCATTTCCAATTTCTTGATTTGGGAGTAAAACCTGAAGTTTTATTAAACACAAATTTGGTGCACTCAACATGTTTTTTTTATAATTATAATACTTTTTGAATATATTTTAGACTAAATAACTCTATTTTTATTGTGTGTTTCATTTATGGAACAAATTTAAAATGACACCAACACTAAATGAAAAGAACTACAGAGACCTGGCGTCATTCATCAGTCAGGGTTCTTCGTTGAAGTTGATGAAGATGGCGCAAGAGGGGAGGAAGACCTCGGTGGGTCTGGGTGAGGTCATCACGGAGGTGCAGGCATTCCTCTCCAGCAGTTTGGATCACTTCCTCAAGGTTTTTGTATTTTGTTTTTGTGTTTTATTTTTTACCTTATTTGACATACCTGCTTAATTGTTAATAATTTTTTGAATATTTAATTACATACATTAGTGAAAATTGGTTTAATTTTTTACAAAATTGTTTTCAACATACTTGGTCTGAAATTTTATAAACATTTATTCTTTCATTACCATATTTTATGAGTTTGTTATCAATAAATAGAATCGAAGTTAAGAAAAAGAACTTATTTGTACTTATTCGTGAATATTCCACTAAACTCAGGATTGTTTTTACTCCCAGTGTTTCAATCGGATATTTTAAATAAATGAATGAATGTATTTACGTATGCTAATTTTTATGATGCAACTCTGTCAAACACGGAGCTATTTATGTGTCGTTCTATACTTATAATTAAATCATAGTGCCACCAAGGTTGCACTATCCACATCGCACGACGCACGTACACACACAGTGCGTGGTATGACACTTCTACCTACCGACTGAGCTAACTCGGTGGCCGATTCACTTAAATATTTATTTAAATTTATGTGAATATAGATTTTAATTTTGTCACGATTAAGTCAGAGGTTAAGTGTTTGTACAAAAAATTTAGAAAAAAACAAAATTAATGATGGTTGTGACGACATTTAGAGGAAAAAAATGAGATGCACTTTAAAGATGAGCGGAAAGATAATTATCTCATTCATCGTCATCGCCACTCATTGCATCCACTAGAATATATTACTCTTTTCACAATAATTCAAGTGCAATTATAGGACCACGAGCGAACTAATGATAATATTTAAAATGTTATCAGACGTAGCGATCGTAACACAAACACACACACACACACACACATATATATATATATATAACAACAAATTAATAACTATATTAACAGTTTTTAATCAATTCATTACAAGAATTGTACAGTAGAAATACAATTTCATTACAAGAATTGGGCAGCTTTGGGAATAAATAATAGCTGTTAAATAGTAAATATTTTTTAGATTTACAAATAGCTATCAATAATTGACTAAGCGTGGTTTAAGGCAAACTATCATAGATTGAGTAAATTTGGTGGTTATTAAAATCATCGAAACATCAATACATTTCAGGTGCAGACGAATTTGTTTCAGGATCCCCACTTCTTCCACACCTACCATCAACCACCCAGCCACAATTTCAACAACACTGCAAACGACAATAACGCGACTACTAATGTAAACCAAACTGGAACTGACACAAACAACAACAGAAACAACATCAGTGTAGTTGAAAACCGCACGGACAAACCCGAGCAAGAGTCAAACGCCCTATTACATAATGAGTACGCGCTGGAGTTGAGCAAGGTGGACGCCATTTTGAACGTCCACAACAACGAAGTTAGGACGAAGATTGTTCAGGTCGAGTTCAAGTGTATCTATTTATTCTTTTCTTCATTTTTAGTTGTTTTTTCATTCATTTACAAATTTATCAAATTTTTATTTTGATTTTTATATGGTTATATTTTTTTATTATTTGATTGTTTTTAAGGCAATTTTATCCTAATTTGTTCTTTTAATGGTTATTATTCTTCAGAATTTTCAATTGACCAGTCAAATAAAAATATGAAAATCATCTAGCTGAAATAGTGATTTCTCCCCAATGCAATCAAGTATGCGTTTGCTATTTGAGACACTAATTCAATTGAGAGTAAAAATTTTAAAAAGCACGTACATCAGCATTAATTTACGAAATCTTTCGCTGAAGTTGTTTCAATACAAATCAAACTTACTCAACTTCAGTGCTCACACACACACGCACACACACACGCACACACACACACACACACACACATACACACACACAGTCACGTTACGTAATCCATTATTTGTTAAACGTTCCACATTCCACATTCTAGAAGTTCAACCGCATGCACTTCAGTTTGAACCAACAGCTTCGAAGTTGTATCGAACAGCAGATGGTCTACCTCATTCAAAAGGTTTACGTTCGTGTTCAAGCAATTCTGAAAATTTTCAAATTTTATCACCCTGCATTTTTTTAAACTTACGAACGAAAGTTTTGAAATGTTTATTATTGAAAACATAAAATGGCATTAAAAATTTTATTATTTTTGATATTAATTAAATGTGAATTGTAATATTGAGATGGCAAATTAATTTTTGTAATTTAAACCTTTTTAAAATTTTATTTCACTCTCCTTTTTTTAATTTTTGAGCTTAAATTTTGAAATTAAAAAAAATCATTATAAATTCGTATTAGAAAGCAAGTCAGTTGAATAAAATGATAAATATTTCAATGGAATTTTAAACACCAGACGGATGAGCTGAACATATCCCAACGACAGACATACGACTCCATTGCTCAACTTCTAACGTCTCGGATAAACACTTTTGATGACAACAACAACAACAACAAAAACAACAACAACAACATGGACGTGAAAGATTCAAAAAAGAACAACTTCAAAAATGTGAACTGCAAATGTCTGATATCTCGTCAGTTGTTTTACAATTTGAAGAGAAGAAAAGTTGAAATCAGGGTGCCAGAAAACATGGAGAGTTTCGCGAAACAGGTCGTCGTAATTTTAATTGCGTTTTGGTTTACATGTCTTAGCACTGCTCCATACATATGTGGAAAATTTTACACTTAATGAAATTGTGGTTGTATTGTTGTTGGTACTTTGTTGTTGCAGTTGTTTTGTTGTTGCGATGAATTACGATGCAAATGTTTCTCACCGTTGTTATGGTGTTACTGTTGTAGTTTTTACGATGTTATCATACTTAGAAACCGCTTTCAACTTTAATTTTGCTATTTTTGTTTCTACCTTGACCTTGTAGCTGCTGACTTAGCAATAAACAATAATTTTGAACCATCTCATATTCGTCCGGTAACAAGTTTTATTTTTCTTTCAAAAACCACACAAAACTATCGACATTGACAATTGAAATTTACAATTGTCATTTAAGTACCGTAAAGGTAAAAGAAACATGAGAGGAACGTTAAAAAGTAACACACTCTACGTTGAAATGTTTCTAAAAACGTTTCATTCAAGTGAAGACAACTTTGATTATATATCATAAATTAACCATTACGCAGCAAAAATCACCTTCTTGGGATGAACGGTATTTACAGTTTCTGAATTGAGTTTTATGTAATGAAGTAATGAAATATTTTATTTTTTATTTAACAAAATGAAACATTTATTTAACAGGTTTTTCATATAATTTTTTTAACTTTGATAGCGGTTAACAACGTTTCAGCTTAAAATTCTAAGTAATTTTTTGGCGGTAATCAGTTTTGGCTTCAAAAAATCTTTTCCTTTTGATTTTTTCAACAACATTTTCAAAATCGTTTTAAGAGCAGTATTTTAATTGGATGGAAATTTTCATTTTTTTGTTATTTCAAACAATTTCATCGATGTCTCACTAGCAATATTTTGTTGAACGAGTTGCAAACTGTTTGGAATAACTACACCCAATTCAGAGGAGTTATTCAATTTGTCCACTGCCATTATTGCCGAACGTTATTTGGCGATGCTATGCTTTTTGTTAGATGGGATGACGCCAGTATGAATGAATAATAGAGTATATTCATATTTTTCCCTGTTGTCATCAGGAAAAAATCATTTTTTATATTTCAGGAAGTGCTCGATGGCAATAAATGCTTGAAACTTTTGTTTTCCATTACAAGCAGCAACAGTAGGCAGAAAGAAATGTGATTCTGAAACTTTCGAAATAAATAGACGTGAATATTTTATTACCTCCCTTATGTCACATCTGTCAACTTTTACATTTTTATATTTTTACGTCAGGAACGCAACGCATGAAGAGCAGCAAATAAAATAATATTTCATTTTCAAAAAATAATTTTTGCTGTTTAATAAATTTTAATTTTATTTATAATTTTCATTATTTTTTGCCATTTCTTTAACACATATCTCAGATAACAAGCAATACTACCAGCTTTTCAAAAATTGAAACATTTATAATAAGGAAGCATATTCTTAGAACCCTTAACGCTTGTAACTACCAACACCAATGTTATAACTTCTAAGATCTCTATATATCCAACAGAAGCGCTGTAGCTTCCAACGATCGTCAAGTTTTCATTATCACGTAAGTTCAAGGTTTCCGATAAATGAACACAACTGCTTCAAACGCAAACTTTGTTGAACGTTTATTTAAATGCCAACAGTAATAGAAAGAAACATCGAACAAATCTAAGCAACGTCATAATTCACATAAACGACTTCGCTTTCTCTGTTGGAAACCTGACATGCAAACTTGACTGACTTCTGTTTCTGAACGGTGGATTTTTACGATGTCCTTTTACAATCTTCTATCAAAAGATAACAAATGTAGCTAAGATAACAATAAATTGGATAACCAATAATGCAGCGTAATTCGATCATTCTCGCCGTTATAACAATATATTCAAACATGCATTCATTTGAAACTTTACGATGCTGAGCGGTGTGATGGCTCAATGGTTAAAGGCGCCTGGTCTTGCTATTGCATTGACTGGGTTCGAATACAAAGAGATCCCCGCCTATCATATGCAATGTGTATGATGCGTGGTTTGCACGAGTATTCATGTACGCTGCGTGTGTTTGTCGTTGAAACCTCTGAAGCTAACGCAAAAGAGTTACTCCCTTTACCATACCATAGAGAATTCAAAACGTAGTTACATAGAAATTACAAGTCCTTTTCGTTATGATGAAATTTTACGGTTTCCATGTATTTAAATATTACAAAAAATAGTTTTTTTCTATCCTAATGAAATAACTCAGCATTCATATTTCATGAAGCCGACATTAACCTGATAGCACGGAGGAAGGGGAGCATTTTAAATCATGCGCTTGCCAAATGCTTCTATGTGCTCTGCTTATAATGAGAATCTGACGTGGCCTTCAATTTCAATTAAGAGCAGACCAAGCCAGTCTTATTCATTTCATGAGCATTTACTCGCTATCATACACTCACCTGCCTCCTACTTCTCATCACCATGTCCTCCTTTTTCCAACATTCCAAGACTTTTAACTTCTCTTTTCCTCTTTTTCTCTCTCTCTCCCTCTGTCTCTTTCTCTCTCATCCTCTGTCTGTCTGTCTGTCTTTCTCTTTTCCACCATTTAGATTTTATTTCATTATATTCTTTGTAACGAGTTAAAGTTAACATTCTTTTTAGTCTGAATAGCAACAGACAGATTAAATTATTTTAAAGTTAAATACAGTTGAAAGAGTTGTTAGTGCTTCTGCTTCATGTTCTGCTTCAGAAACATCGTTTAAGTTTTTCTTATTAAAAATCCAATTTACATTAAATAATTTTTTACTTTAATTCTGGCAAACATTGAAAATTCTTAAAAATTAAAATTTTTTTCGCTTCAGAACTTAGCTAATCAATGTTTATAGGCTTAGTGAAACCATTCAAATACGAAGCTGACAGACGTTAGAGTACATTCAGATAGAAAGTAAATGATCCGAACACGGAATGAAGATTACATAACAAAAAAATGCGTGAAAATATTCAGCACAACAGCCAACATGGAGGCATTCAAACAAACATCATTTCAACATGTTATCACGTGCCAGGCATGCTCATGTTACATTGCAACTGCAGATATTTTGTTTCTAACTAAAAATATCTGAACGGTGGGCAAAAAAAATAGTTTTTGCATCTACATATGTATAAAAAGTGTTAAAGTTTCTTATATGCATTTGAATAATATTTAAAATATAAAAAACAAATTTTTGGTTATTCCTTTCATTTCATTGTCTTAAATTAAATTATTTTTTAGGTACAAAAACTGATGTGCAACGAGCAGAGCGTGAAGATATTGGAGAGGAAAGAAAAAGATTTGCGTGCCCGTCTGACCAGCAACCAGTTTGTCGCAAGTAGCACGATGAAGAAGAGTGAGGCTTTCAAAGAAAACAGGCTCGTCTTTTGCATTTTTTAAAATCATGTCACATGTTTGAAAAACATTTGATGAAAATCTATAAAGAAATTATCTTAACATGTGTTCTATTTGGTTCTCTTAATGGCTTTCTTTGATAAACATTACAAAAGCTGTTTTACACGAGAACATAAACATTTACAGCACACACAACAACGTAAAATGAACACCAACAAAAAGATCCAACCTCTACAAATTGCTATGCGTTCAGTAGTTACACATGCACGTTCTTGAATGCACAACACACAGATGGGACCCAAACTGACACAAAGCACACACACACATACACACGTGATCAGAGTAATTAAATTTAAAATAAATTATAAACCTTCACACAAGTCAATTCAGTGTAAACCAACTGCGATTAGCAAGTGTTTTACTGTTTTTGGTGTTTGTGGTAGTGTCGTAAATAGTACAAGCCGGCCGAGCAATGAAACAACAACAAAGCATAAATTTGTGAGCTGCAGAGCATCTACGAGCGCAACCCAACTTGTAATGCAGCTTCTGTGCGCGTGCAAAACACGTTCAACGGCGCCTTATCACCCAATGCGCTAATAAAAAAATAAAAAACAGCACGTAAAAATCCATAAGTCAACCTCTTCACATGTTAACAACTATTTCCATCCGAATATGTACAACCAACATAGAATATTTATAACGCAGTCTGCAAGTATGTAAGAATGTAATAATACAATGAACATGTGTATGCGCGTATGTGACGAAACTTTGGAGATTTTTTGGTGTAATTCTTCTTAAAGTGACAATGTATCCATCCGTGAAACAGTTTTATAGCAATGCGAACAATTATTTTAGAAAAAGTAGTTTATCTAAGGCAAAACAGACAAGGACTAAAACTGTTTGCCTCAGCCATAATAGACAGATATAGAACGGTGATAATAATGAGTATTTCGTAACACAATTCATCAGAAATAACGTTGAAACAATCGCCCTCAGCAGTCTGTGCAGCACAAACGTACTACTGAATACTCTGAAGGAAGAGAGCGTGAAAGCTCAAGTTTGTATATGCTTCTGTTTAAATTTGAGGCCAATTAAACTTAAATTGATTCTATAAAATTATTTCATTTGTTCAACTTCATCCAACAGTTTAAGAAAAAAACAATTTTTTGGTAAATTATGTCTAAGGATTTTTTTTGCCAAAGAAATACTTGATTCCAAATAACATCAACTAACCGAACTTTAGTTGCAGATGATTCGATATTCGCTGAAGAACTACCGACAAAAACGGGCAAAGTCTGGAAGAAAAAAAGAAGAAGACATGATGGATGACATCATTGATGACGTCATCGTTGATGAGGATGGTGCAGACAACATCGACGAGGATGGCTTCATTAACCGTGAAAGCAACATCTCCAACATTGAGAACTACAACCAACAAGTCAGCAAAGTAATTTGATAAAGTTGATATGTATACATATTTGTATGAATGACATACCCTATACCCTATACCCTACCCATACATATTTGTATATATAAAAACTAGAGAGTTTTGTTTTTAATAAAAGTTGATAAATATTTTTTTTTAAATAAAACACACAAAAATAAGTGGAACAGTAAATTTGTAAATGAATATTTATGATGGAATAAATTATTTAGCAGAAAGCTTGGTTGCCAAGGCCATCTGAAGGTTAGTAACGCTTTGTAGTCTCACTTCACTTCTTCAATTAAATCATTCTATTCAGTTTATCCAATTATTTCGTCATACGTTCAATCAAAAAATCATTTTTGGAATTTTTTGTTTGGCGCATTTTCGGTTCCTAATTATTGCGACATATTTATTAAATATTACATTTTCAATTTTTTTCTTCAACAATCAACAAATTTTATTTTATTTGTAATTAAACTTTTAAATCAAATTTTATTCGCTAAACGTTTTATTATTGAACAATTAGATAGACATACTTTTTGTTGAACTGATTTGTTTGATATTTAATTATATATAATTTTTGCTTACAATCAGATGGTAATTATCGTAGCTTAGGCCTGTATCTTAAATACAAATACCTATACTATACTATCATTTACACTATACAAACAAATCAATATTTATTGCTTCACGTTTATTATAAAAAAACTAGTTATTTTTAGATTCTGGACTGTTAATATTTAAAAACATATATTAAAAAATTCTTACAAAGAATGGCGAACCAAGAGAGGAGAACATGAGAATTCCATAAGGGCAACTATGAAATTTCAAAACTGTTAAAAATAAAATTGGAAGACATTTTCAAGAAATTTTAATTTTTTTTTCACTAGCTCAACAATTGGCTGTGTTGAGCAAAATATGTTCAACATTTTTACCGGCTTATAAACTAACAGAAACTGTTAGTTTCAAATATTCACCATCATTAAAAATTTTGGATTCGCCGCAGAGCAGGGCAAACGTTTCGAGTTTCGTTGACAATAAAAACTTTTCAATAGCTAGGTGGCCGGAGCCAAACATGTTTTATATTTTACAATCGATGATGAGACAACGAAAGGTCTAGATCAAAACCACCAACATCAACTAACTGACCGCTTAAATGCATCAATTGTTTTAAACAGTTTTAATATTATCAATCAATAAATGCAAATTCTTAATTAATCGTCCATATTTCAGTCTTTCTGGCATTATGATAAACACCTACGGCACAGCAGCCACGAATGTTTTCATTAAATTTGACCACAAATGCATGTTAGCAAGCTTGATAATGTTAAGCTCATAAAGGAAAACAGCACAAAACAGGTTCTTTTACTCTTGAATCGAATTAAATTGCACTTTGGATTTTTTTGTTGCATCCACCTCAATTTCAACAGTGTGATCAAATTTTTTTAAAGAGCATTACGTGAAAGCGTGGCACTAAACTCAGTGCAAGGTGTCGTGAGTGCATACTCAACAACCTAACATACTTGAATAAACCTTGTGGTTTTTAAACAATAGAGATTTGGATAGTTATTATCTATCTTTATTGCAAAAAAAGAAATAAATATATGCTTTGAACTGGGTAGGATTTCAATTTAAATTAAATTTCAAATAAGGCTAATTTGTTGAAATGATAGTTTATCCCAAGCAAAATTTGTTGCATGCATTGTGTTGAAGAAATGTTCAAGCAATTGGTTCCTAGTTTTCTGCAATCCAATTACAGCATCCGTGCGTAGAGAACTTCGTAGTTCAAATTTCTTCTTTCACGTCATTATATCCCTCGAGTTTTCTTCGAAAAAATGATTGAATCTTTAATCAGCTTGAACAGGGCTTTTAATTTTTTATATTTTTATTACTATTGTTGTTGAATTTGAATATTTTTAGAAAAAATTCAAAAGACGTATTGTGGTCTGGTCATCAGTTAATGGTAAATCATTGGTCTTATTTTTATCGTTAATATGATGATCGAGAAAATGATACATATCGGTCGCAGGGCTGCCAATAAAATCATTGCTACTGTGCGGTTGTTGGTTGCAATTTGTTGAAAATATAGTTACAAATAAGTTATTGGATGAAATAAATTAGAGTTGTATAATTACTTTTGTTGTAATTATGATTCATTCTACAGAAAGAATCATAATTTTGTTATTTAATTTCATTATATCTGCAAACTATCAATCACACTCTGAAGAAGTGTTGCACGTTTAACCGTGGTACGTTTTGTGCTGAGTCACATGCTAAATGGGTTGGTTTTTAATGATGTCAATGTAAAGGTTTTAGCACTATGAACCTTGAAAAATTTCCGGTTTTAAATATTATACTTGAAAAAATGTTTTTAAAATAAATTAATGAGTTGATGATTCTATGATTTCTTTGTTGCCTGATCCCTTAATGTTTTTTGCTAAGTAATCCTGAAAAAAATTCTCATTAAAATCAATTCAATAAGAAATCCCGGTCGACGTTTCTATCGAAACCTCAGCGACCTCTATGCTGAGCTGCAAACGTGTGCAAACGAAGAAAAGATTTGTAAAGCATGTGCAGAAATTATCATTTGGAAATTTTGCATTATTAACCGTTCCTTGCTTGGAAGCATCGCTTTAACGTCTGCTGTTACACGTGGCCGCCAAAATAATGTTCGTCACACGCGTGTCGAGAAGTTGTTGACGAGTGAAATGTAAAGTTTGACTTTTGAAGGAGATGACTGGTTCGTTTTTAACGGATTTTGTACTGAGTCAGTGCCTGTTCGTCTGTTTGTTGATTTGTTTGTTTGTTCGTTTGTTTTTTTGTTTGTGATTGTTTTTTAATTGAATTAGTGGGTCTGTTGAATTTTTTTTCTGTTGGGGTGTGACAGTGATTTGAAAATTGTTTGCTTGCGTCACTCTATGTTTGTGTGTGTGCCTCTTTGTTTTCTTTTGGTTTGTGTCTGAGTGTAAAGTGTATGTGGAACGCGTGTAGAGTGCGTGTGTTTGTGTTGTGTGTGTGTGTGTGGTGTGAACCTCAATGCATCGGAGCATATGTTTTTTATGTGAGTTTTTCTGCCAAGATGTGTGCGTGTGTGTTTTTTAGCGCGTCCTCTGTTCCTTCATTTGAAAACTTGCAAACAACTTTTTGTGCTGTTAATTTTACAAATTTATTTTTCTTCTAGCTGAACGAATAATAGAGCAATTAAACGTACAATGAACTTTCTCTTCATTGATGATGGCATCTTAACTGAATGTAGGCTTGCTAGCTGGTTGGTTGGCTGGGCGGTCTGAGTTGGGTAACTAATGAATGCAGAAAGAAAAACAACGATAAGGGTGATGATGGTGGTGGTTCAGAAGATGATGAAGATGTGATAGAAAAACTGTGTTTAATTTTTTGGTAAACCCTTTTTAAACTTGTTTGTCTATTTTGGTTTGACTTTGTATGGGATTGCATTTGCCAAGAATAATTTTATGACATCCTGACGTGAGAAAAATGAATAGAAAGCCCAATTTCAAGTTACAAGTCATTGGCAACTTTTCATTTTTTCAAATTATTTATTTTTTAACTTTACCGAAATCATTTGTACAAGCATAATACATTTAAGTGAATAATGTTAATTTCTCCTTTGAATTAACCAAATTAACACACAAATTGCTGAGATAATTTTATTTTTTGGACAATAAGGTGTTGAATGATTTGACGAAAAATTACTTTTTTGTTTATGAAAAGTATTGTAATTTGATGTTCAGAATGATTGAACAATTTGTAATATTGTAAAACTATAACTCAAATAACGCAGACCTTGAAAGCATTTTTAACAATTCAAAGCAGACGTTAATTTATCAAAGTTATTAAATACCATTAACATGATCATCGTCATTAGCACGTCATTATCTTCTACATCACAACCACCAACATAACGGTCATCGTCATCATCGTCATCATCAATCAATACTCCACCTACCGCCATCATATCATAGTCATGGGAATTGGTTGGTTTGACGGACCACTGAGACCCATTACTGTAATTCATTTCCACGTACTAACGTTGTTACTCCACAAGTCAGCGGAGGTTGAGCAAACAACTGCTGAAACAAAACACACACACTCACACCAAACAAACACACTCACACATGCATACACACACACAAGTGCATACACGTGCATACACACACACACACACACTCATGCATACACACACACACACACACGCATACACAAATACAACACATTCATATATACACATATACATATACACGCATACACACACATATAATACATATATACACACTTACACATGTGTCAACAGTATGCATTATTTAATAGAGTTGAAAATACGAACATTAATATAATATTCATTACAGACGAAATCAGTGAATTGATGTTTAAATTGAAATTTAAATATTTTAAAATGAAAGATCTGGCTTTCACGTTTAAAAAGTCTACACCACAACCCAATCTTAAAATGTCTCAGTTAGATAGGTGTCTGATAAATTGTTATACATTTTTAATGCAATTATTCAAAACGACGTCTGAATGTTATCTATGTAAATATAATACATTTATTTCAATGCCTAGAATTGATAACACCAAATTTGTTATATATTTGTCTTAACATGACAGCGTGCAACAAAGAACGCAAAAAGCACCAACACAGCAGATCACAAATTTCTAACAAGGAGGCGAACAAATTTGAGCGTTCAAGAGTTCAAAAATTAAAATAGGAACTCCTTCGATGTGACTGAATGACGACCTACCATGAGATTGCTTACAAACAAACGCTCATACACGCACACACGTGATATACTCACATGCACAAACATGCACAAAGAATACAATTGCTTATTTTTGCAAGCAAACTTGAAAACATACAAGGCAGTACCAGCAAATGCACAAAAAGAACAAAACCCGTGTTCAACCACCTACCGATAATTTATATGCATTTATTTTTTGCATAATAGCTGCCATTTAATATTGAAGCATAAGCAAGGCGTGTGCCCGTATGAGAGTGCGTGAATGTGATGATTGTG